AGCGGCCTAAACTGACAAAGACAATATTCAAATATATGTGTAACAAATGACAGAAGCCCAGACATGAAACAACATCAACAGAACTAAGAGAAGAACTAGGCAAACCTACAGACAGGAACTGATAAGTTAGCATTAAACCAGCGGGAGAAATCAGGAATTAATTTGAAAATATGACCCATACTACTAAACAAGTCAACTTAACTGGCACTCATGGAACCCCATAACTAACAACTAAAAGAACCTTAAATCTAAAACTAACTCATTAAAATAGACTGTATGGTATACAAGTCTCAACACATACTTCTCTATTAATAAAGCCTGCTCTTAAAATGCATTTAATTAAGCCCACAACTGAAAAGCATTTAGATTCCAAATATTGCTTAGACAATATACTGTAGCAGTGTTTAGCTGGTGAACCTGTAATGGTGGCCACACCCCTTTGAGCGTGGCTTCAGGTGGATAGAAGTGGAAAGAGGGAAGCTTGAGGTATGACTTCTGTTTGCACTGTCTTTCTGGTGAGTCAGCCAATCCAATAGGAAGGGCAGAGAAACACTCCTATGGTTCTTTATATTTTTCTGTGCAAATGTTCCCCAATAAACACCTATTTATCAATGATCTTGGGTCTAGTGAAATCTTTACACCTATGCCTTCACTATACTTCTACATAATCCATGCATCAAAAAGAAAACAAAGTACATGGGAACTTTAAAAACAATTCAAAAGGAGCACATTGAAAGTACAAAATATATGGGAGTCACAAGAGATGCCTCATGGGGAAATTTATAGCTTTAAATGCTCAAGTTAGAAAAAAAAACTTAATAACCCATGATAGATATTACATTCTACCTCATAAAATAAGGAAATAAAGACTACATTCGAAGTATAAAGAAGAAAATACTAGAGACTATAGCAGAATCAACAACAACAAATCACAAATTCTCAATAGCTAACACTGTTTCTGTTAGTGTTTCCATTTGTTAGGGTTGCGCTCCTGCTCCTGTAAACTTAGTACCAGACCAGAGACTGTTCCTGGAGATAGTGCATCCCAATAACCTGGTAGCTATGACTACAATTCGACCATTTGGGTAATCCATAAAGTAGCTACCAACAAACCAACAAAGAAAGTTACTATAGTGATGGGAGCACTCGTTGCTGGCTACTGTAAGGAGCCTGGACTTCTGCTCTGATGAATCTATGAACTGTGAGACTCCTTGCAGCATCCCTTGGCCTTCTCTGTTCAGCAGCAGTGAGCAGGCCATTAGAGGAAACATGAAGGTAAAGACAAAGGTTCAGAGTACTAAGTGACTCCTGGATTGTGCCTACCAGGAAGGGAACCTAAGCTGACCCACATACTATATGGAAGTAGGGAGAAACAAGTGTTTGTTCTGGAGGACTACAGAGATAAGTAGCAAACAGGACCTCAGGAACAAAGTCTTGGACTTTTTCTATTTTTGTTTTAAATCTTTGTGGACTTTTTGGGTAGCTGCTATGAGACAGAAACCTTGAGATAGATGGAACTTGAAATTAAAATGAGGGCATGGGCACTTCTGAAGGGAGAAACTGTTAATGACTTTCATTTGTGATACTTCACACTCTCCAAGCCCCATCTCCTATCCCAGCACTGCAGCAAAGCCCCCAAGAGAGCATAACTAGTTCTTCACAGTTCCTAAGCTCTCCTCTTACATTCTGTCCTTCTGTCCTGGGGTTCTTGCTGTCATGGTTTTAGGCTCCCTATAGAAACGTCTTTGTCACTCAAGCACAGAAGTATGGAGAAGGCCGATAGGAATATCTTTGGACAATGGGGAAAGGCCCATAAATAGAATCTTCTTTCAACGCTGAGAGGATAGCTCCATTGGTGAAGTGCTTGCTGCCCAAGCCTAGCACCTAAGTGTCATCCCATGCAACCATATAGAAGTTGTGTACAGAGGCATGCACTTGCAATCCCAGAACTGAGAGGAAAAGACAGGTCAATCCTTGAGGCTTGCTAACCTAACCTAATCATCAAGCCTCAGCTCCCAGTGAGTGAGCCTGCCACAAAACCAAGATGGGCTCTTCCTGAGAAATAACACCTGAGACACCTGAGGCTGACTTCTGACCTCCAACACACATACACATATGCACACACACACACACACACACACACAGAGAGAGAGAGAGAGAGAGAGAGAGAGAGAGAGAACACATCCTTCTTGCCTCGGGTAAAGAGCTATGAGGCATGTTTTAAACCTCAGAAGGTTCTGGATGACAGAACATGCAGCTATCAACTTAATAGAAGCCTCTGGCCTGTTGAAATGTCTCTTCTGGTTCCCTCCTCCAGCTCTTTGCTCTGGGTCTCTTCCCAAATGAATTTTTCCCATGTGTCTTTGTCCTTGCTTTGAAGAAAATCTATTTGGGACACCGGTCTTAATACCAGAATATTGATTCCCCTGGTCACACAGAGCCATGGCAACTCTTCATGTCTTTTAGAAAGGACTCAACACAACTTGAAGTCCATGCACCACCACCCCCCTTGGGAGAATGAAGACTGGCAATTTTCCCTAGGGAAGACAACTTTCTAACTTGACCCCATTGCTAAGGGCCCCTTCTTGCCCACAATTCCTTCTCTTTGGAAGTTCCATTTCTTTGAAACAAACAAACAAGCCAAACATGTAGCTTATCTTTTCACATTAACTCTCCTCGGAAGGTGCCTGGTGAACATCAAGGATTAGCAAACCACATTACCCTAAGATGATCCTTCAACCCGTCAGTTACTCTAATTTATTTTCTTTGCTGTTTCACAGTCTCTGAACCATGTTTTTCTTCTTTTTTAAATGGCAGACTGTTTTCTTTGGCACAGCCCCAGAGTACAGCAACAGTTAAAGTTGCCACTATGTGAAAGATCTGTATTTGTTTAGAATTTACTCAGAAGGCCGTGAGAGCAAGCGACCTGGATTTTAGAAGCAGCCCCAGGAAATTCACAGGATTTTCTTTCCTGTCTTTTTGCCAGGATGCTAGCTTTTCTTTGGCCAATAGCAAGCTGCACAAGGTCACAATTTATGCTAGCTAGACTCGCCTGAGCCATCAGCCTCCTTGCTTTCTCTCTTACCCTTATGGTACACACAGCAGAAACAGTGACAGGAAAATGACAGCATTAGTTTAGGCTTCCACATGACAGATGGGACAAATAATCTTTCCAGATGTATTTTGGAGGAACATATAACCTGGCAAAGAAAAGGAATTGACTCTGCACATACACATCCATCATATCTTGAAGAGTGAATCCAATCTAGGTTAGAAAACAAAATGAACTTCAAAGGAATACTGCAACTGACCCATGAAGGACAAAAGAGAAAGCTGGAACAGGAGACTCAGAAGTGAACTTGAAGACTGACAGAGACATTTGAACAATGGGTAGTTCACACCACATGACAGGAAGTGGTGGTGTGATTTCCAACTTACAAAAGGTTAGAAATCCGGATTCCTTATCTTGGAAGGAACACAGGAGTGACACCAACCTTTGGTTGGGAGACAGAGTTCAGAGGTAGAATTTGATCCACTTTTAGCTTCATTATCAAAACGAAAATATTTTTGTAGCATGACAAATAATGTTTTAAAACATTTGTAAATAAAGAGCATGCGTGGTGTTGACTTTGTCCACTTGACTCTCAGTTATTAAGAAAAGCTGCCATGGTTCTGAAGCACAGGGTTCAAATGCTGGCACTTGCCACGGCAACCTCTCTGAAATCTGCCTTCAGGATGCTCTGGTACTCTGGTTGTAGAAGCTCTGCTTCTTGTTCCCTTAATTTTTTTCTTATTAAACAACTCTTTGTACTTTCTTCCTGGACAGTAAATAACTGGGTTCTGCAGCATCGCTAGTCAATCCCCAAGGATCTGCTCCACAAACTACCTTCAAGGCTGTTTATTTTGCTTTATCTTCTCCAGGATACAGGGAATAACAGAAATTGCTTTTGTTTAGGCTGACTTATCATTTCATTTTTCTTTTCTGTCTTCTACCTCACAAGAAAGCTTGATGATTAAGGTTTTATTCTAAAGACTTTTGTTTTGGTTTTGAGACAAGGCCTGTAGATTAGGCTTATATGGCTAGCCAAGGATGAATTTTAACTCCTCTTCATCTGCCTCTATCTCCTGAGTGCTGGGTTAATAAGTGTGCCCAGATCTCCTGTAGTGCTGCAGACTGAACTTGGAGCTCTGCACATGCTAGCCATGTACTCTACCGACTAAGCTATTTCACCAGCCCCATCTTAAAGATAATTAAAATGTAAACAAATCCAACAGATGATGACTTTTTTAAGGCCTATTGTAAGGAGAGCAGAATTACACAGGAAAGGAGGAAAATGTGCAGAAGGAAGGAAAACAGAAGCAAGGGAGAAAGTGGGGAGGAAAGGAATGGGTAGATTTTCCCAGGTTCCATTTTTTTAAATAACATTATAGAGAATGAAAATTAATGAGCCAGCTTTCATTACTATTAGCTAAGATCTCTTAAAGGAAATATGTTGCAGTTTTAAACAGCAAATGGCTATTGTGATCTTCTTTATTTTGTGAGAATAGCAATCCTTCCACACTTAAAAAATCACATTTTAGAACATATGGTTGGTTGACTAAGTCCAACAGTTATGAATCTACTGACAAACTTTGGTTGAACTTTTGTGCATTATGTAGGCAGAATAGCTGCTTAGGAGAACTTTCCATTTTCAGATGCAAGTCTAGGCATTTTGTACAGATGCAAGATTAGGACACTGGTCTGTTGCCCAGTTGTGGACTCTGATAAGGGTCAGAATCTCAGATCGCCATCAGAACATCAGCATTTTCCAAGTCTTGAGTAATGTGTCTTCTGCCTACAACTTACCTTCTTGGCTCCCATGGAGTATTTAATTATCTCTCTTCTATCTACATTCTTCAGCTCCTACCACTATCCCCTTTAATTGATTGTTCCCCTCATTTTCAGTTGTTCTCACATTTTTGGTGTTAGCAAAACAAAACACAAAAACCATAAATCTTACCATCTCCACCAAAGACAAATATAAGAACATCCCAGCCGTCACTGTTAAGATCCATTCTTGGACGCGTGGATCAGCAGACACTGAGAGACCAATGTACAGTCCTATGAAGGCAGTCAGGGCACTTATAAAATTGATCAGGATGGCAGTCCTGACAGAGAGTCCCGAGCTTAAGAGCACAGCAAAATCTCCTGGAGTTTGGGTAGGGAGAAGGGGATGTCACCATTACTTATTTGAAGTTGCTTTTGACAAATTCATGTACTACTAGTTTGTTTTGAATTAAGCAAATGGAACAGATTTGGAGAGTAAAGATGAATGATCAGTTAGTGAAGCATAACCACCTACATCTCTGGGGCTCCCTGCCGAGTTGAGTTGAGGCTGGAAATGGATCTATCCCTTTTCCTAAATATAGCCCTTCCAGTGAGGTCCGTGACACATTCTCCAACCTCTGATACACCGCAGCATTTTTAACTCAGAAAACGCAAACTAAAGGTATCTTCTAGCCTGGAGTTTCTCAGTTCATTTCTGTTGTTTCTTTGGCTTGGATCCTTGACAGGAGAATCGTGATGCTACACAGGCTTTTATGACTTACTTATTTGGGGTCTGTTTTAAGAAAAGAAGAAAACTGCTTAATCAGAGTTTTTTTTAAATCCTTGAAAAGTTGATTTGAAAGACAAACCTTCTCTTTAGAAAGTGATTTTCTACAATGGCCAGAGAATACCATCCTTTTTCTTTCCATACTTTTGTGCCAAAAGATGAACATTCTATCTGCAAAACTAGAATGTCTATTTCTCCGTCTCCATCACCAAACAGAGGCTGAAATTGAATATATAGAACATGTGTGGCTCCATTCCCTAATCCATTGCATAACTAGTCCCAGAAATAGCTTGTGATACCACCATACTGGCCTGCTACACACTACTATACTGCCCCGTGATTTGAGGTTGGGAGTCAAGTACCATACCACTAGTGTAGTAACTCAACACATGACCATAGGGTTTGATTCCCAGAACAGTTAAATTTTAATGGGCTCAGAAGGGACCTTGGCTAAAGTGAGTCAATAATAACTTGGTAATGAGACTTTAAGGGATGGAGATTGAACACAAGATGGCAAGGGTGGCCCATGGGACAACATAAACTTGAAATTGAAAGCAGAAAGAATGAGCCTGTCCTATTTTTCTCTTTCTTGCTTTGATTAAACACTCTGACTGAAAACTTAGGAGGAAGAAAAGATTTATTTTGTATTATGTTTCCATGTCACAGTCCATCACTGAGGGAAGTCAGGGCGGCAACTCAAGCAAGACCTTGAAGCAGAAATCTTGGAGGTATGCTGTTTGCTGACTCACTCCAGTTCATGCTTAGCTAGCTTTCTTGTACAGCTTAGGACTACCTGCTTAGGGAACGGTGCTGCCCATCATGAGCTAGGCTTTCCTAGCCCACCAATGGACAATGAAGATAATCCCTCACAGGCATGCCCACAGGACACCAGTCTCATCAAGGCAATTCCTCAATGTATACACTCTTCTGAGGTGACTGTAGGACATGTTAAATTGACAATTTAAGCTGATTGCATGGAGGCCTCTCTCTAGGACACCTACATAGGCAGTATCCCCTCCACTAGTTAAAGGCCTGTCTCTGATATCACTGTTTTATTTAGTCTTGATTCAAGGAAGCAGGATTGGTATACAAAGTTACTAACTTTATAGAGTCTTTTGTGTATCTGATACCATATACTTGTTGCTTCAATTTTATACTTAGCTTCAGTTATTCTGTATTAATCATGTGATACATGCTTTTATTTTAATTTAAATGTTGTTTTGTCTCACAGGCCCATTTTCTGACACAATGGTTTCCCTCTTAACATGTTTACTATATTCAACATGCAGATTCTGTGATCTTTGCCAAAGTTCTTGGAATGAGATTTCTCTGAATAACTCTCTTCCAAACTTAATTAGCTGGGATATGTGGGGCAGGATTCTTGACCCTGGAAAGAAGATTAGGAGCCCCTTGAGCTTTATTTAAATGTACAATGTGTTTATTTGTTTAGTTGGTTGGTTTTTGTTTTGCTTTATTTTACTTATGGTTTAAATAAATTAAAAATTGAAAGTGACTGAAAAAATAATGTTTCCATATTTTAAATTCTAGAGAAGAATCCAAGCAAACTATTGCTGGGGATGTACTAGGACACCCTCAAGAAGCAGGAACACTTACCCATTTCATGGGGAATTTCATGACACAAAATTGCAATTGTTGTGGTCACTCCCGACTCCAGTGAAGATGAGAATGCTGTCCCTATTACGAGGCCATCTGCAAAATTGTGCAGGCTATCCCCAACCAATATCATGATTGCCAATAAGCTGATAGTTTTGTCTAAAGAACCAAATGAAGGAGTGAAAAGTATTAACAAAGCACTACAGATGTCACGGGATCCTTCTCATCCAAGTCCCTTTCCCATCCACTGTGACAATCTCACATTGCACCTCATTAAAAATCCCTATTATATTCTGCTTTAAAGATAAGCCAGAACCCCAAATGAAATGTGGTACCAAATAAACTCAAAATGGCCACTATGTTTTTAACTGCTTTGACCAATTGTAACATAAACGATATGCTGGCATTTGGTTTCTTCATTTTATTGAGCTAAGCTGTGGTAGTTTGAATGTGAATTGCCCCATAGGTTCATATGTTTGAATGCTTGGTGGTCCCTAATTGGTGAAACTGCTCGGTAAGGGTTGTAGGGTGTGACTCCATCGGCGAAGGAGGTGACACCAAGGACAGGATTCTGGGTGCCCCCTCTACCTACTACTTGTGGGTTGAGATCTGAGCTCTTTGCTGTTCCTGCCATCATGTTGTTCTTCCACCATCATGGTCTCTAACCTCTGAAGCCATAGGTACAACTAAATGCCTTCTCTTATAAGTTGTCTTGGTCATGGTATTTTGTCACAGCAACAGGAAAGTAACTAAGACACATGCCAAAGACGAAATCTAAAGCAGTGCTACAAACCCCTAACTCTACCTATCTTCTCTGCCGTGGACTTGGTGAGGCATTCTAAGCAGGCACTAAGAAGCTCACTGTGTGCAGGATGCTGATGACTCTCCCATTTTTCGTTTGTTGAAACTTGATGTGATTCTATGAGGCAGTGGAGCCTTGGGGAAGTTGTTAGGTGATGAGTTAGGGCTGCTGCCTTACTCGACTTGCCATGTGAGGGCACAGTGAGAAGATGCCATCAGTGAACCAGAAAGGGGGGATCTTGTCTCACCTTGACTTTGGCCTTTCAGGTTCCAGACACTAGAAAAGAAATTTCTATCCTCTAAAAATTACCCATGTATAGACGTTTGTTAGAGCACAGCCATGTTAGTGGATTGAGTCAACTCTTCCTGTGTGGTACCACTGGCATGACCCTGATGCTCCTGCACCAGTCTGCTCAGGGTACTTCCTGGAATCATGAGATCATTGTGATGCCTGATCTGACCGGGGTTAATGACTCTCCTAAACTGCCTTGTTTGCTCCTCAACTGTTTCTTCAACAGAATCACAATTAACTCTTTCAGCTCCCCGATTATCTTTATAGCAGTTACTCACTGTACTTATCTTTCTGCAAAATAATTTTCAGTAACAGATCAGTTAGATACTGAACAAAATAAAGAGAAGTTTTCATTTGTATGGGATTATATTATATTGTGCTTGCTATCTGCTTATTAGTTGATGAAAAATGATCATAATGGGTTTGAGTTTTAATAGAAAGAATTTCTATTTTAAAAAAGCAATTGCAGAATGAAACCCAATTATAGACTTGAGCAACTAACAAAAAGTACTTTGAGAATAATAAGACAGTAAGCTAGCTGGGTTATTTCAGTTAATAAGAGTAGACATTTACCAATTACCACAGTCTAAAATTTCATCATTCAGCTTCAAATATGCTGTGAAAGAGATGTAAGTAGTAGCTGTTGTTACTATTAGGACTGAATATATTTTCTAAATAATTGTACAAAATAGGAATCGGTCATTAGCCATTTATGAACTAAAAATGAGAGGTTCTATGATATTTTCTGATAGGAATATTATTTGATATACTGTGTACTTAATTAAATGATGAACAAAGTTCATAATTTCAATCAAGAGACAGTTATAAATTGACTGTGTTACAAAGATGGTCTGTGAAATTTATTTCTAAAGCTCTTACTTGTTTACAAATGGAAGCAGAGGCAGACACCCATAGCTAAACACTGAACTGAACTCCTGGAACCCAGTTGCAGAGAGGAAGGAGTGATGAGCAAAGGGGTCAAAACCAGGTGGTGAAACCCACAGAAACAGCTGACTTGAACAAGGGGGAGCTCATGGACCTCAGACTGATGGCTGAGAGGCCAGCATGGGACTCATCCAGACCCCCTGAATACAGGTGTCAGTGAGGGGGCCTCGAAAATCTATGGGGCCTCTGTATTTATCCCTGGCGTACGAATGGACTTTGGGAGTCCATTCCACATGGAGAGATGCTCTCTCATCCTGGACACATGGGGGAGGGCCTAGGCCCTGCTTAGGATCATATGACAGACTTTGGAGATCCCCATGAAGGGCCTCACCCTCCCTGGGGAGTGGAGGAGGGATGGAGTGGAGGATTGGGGGGTTTGGTGGGAGGCAGCTGAGGAGGGAAGGGAGATGGAGCTGGGATTGACATGTAAAGCAAGCTTGTTTCTAAATTAATTTTTTAAAAGGAAAAATAAAAATAAAAAACATATTAAGAATTAAATTAATATGCCAGTGTACATAGTTCAGTGGTAGAGCTCTTGCCTGGCATTTATGAGGGGCTAGGTTTAATCTCCAGTCTGAAAAAGAAAAGTATAGAACAAACTTAGACCTTCTTAAGAGTTTAATAACTTATTTAATCCATTGTTAAAACCGGAGAAAGTTCAGGAAGTGATAGGAAACACAGAGAAAAATATCAAAGTTTTGGATTCAGGAGGTTCACTCCAACATTGCCTGAAAACTCCAAGCTTCTAATGACACTATGATATCACTTAGCTGCTCATGTCAGCTTTCGAGAACAAAGTTTCGTTTTTATAAAATAACTTAATTTAAAGTGATGTAGCACAGCTGCCTGCAAATAAAGCCGTGTTTTCCTTATGCCTACATGTAGTTCTGATAATGATAGAATACATTCAAATGCAATATTTTCAGTGCTCTAGCCCTTTCTAGGAAGCTGTATGGCTAATTTTCATTAAATCTATTACTTCATTATCTCTGGTTTCAGGCGTCTAAATGTCACAATAGGGAAATGTAAGCAGACACAAGGCAAATACATTTGCGTGTAAACCACAACCAAACACCATGCACCTATGCATATTCAGAAAGATCATTTACACGTTTATCAAAAGATAAGCATTAGCTGGCAATTTAATATACTTGACACCAAAATATAATATTTCACCTTTGTTGATGTACCTGGCAGTCTTCAGAGTCACGCATGTCTTAACTATCTGAGATTTTCCACCATGAAACATGGGCTAGAAATAATCTGATTTGGGTTTTGTTTACTTAAGTCAGACTGTGGAGAGGATTTTCACATCCTGTCCTTTGAAATACAAGTTGAGTCCTACTGACTGACGAGGCAATACGAAAGAAGTGATCACATAGCCAAAGCTAACTCAGTGTTTTCCTGGCAAACGGCAGCTGACTGTTCTAATTTGGATTTGCTCACTGTTCATTCTGCATGCCAAGCTTGATACCTGCAGTGGGAAGATTATCTGCATGAAATGGCTGTTGCTCCCTGCTGTGGTTTCTATGTTCTCCTCCTAATTTGAATTGGCATATTCCTTTTTCCCCTCTTTCCTTTATTTCAAAAGTAAAAACAACAATGCCTGACATAGACCCACTATGCACCAAACATTCCAAATTCATACTGGAACTAAAAATTATACAAGGATTAAATAATATCATTAGGCTGCAGAAATGGCTCAGATGTTAAGAATACCAGCTACTCTTCCAGAGGACCCAGGTTTGATTCCCAGTGCCTACATGGTGGCTTACAACCATCTTTAACTCCAGTTCTAGGGGATCTGACACCCTCATCTGACCACTAAGGGCACCATACTCATGACAGTCACAGGCATACATCCATTCAGATATTAACATATATACAAAAATTTTAAATATATTTACAAAAAAAATTAAACAACATCCTGGAAGCATAATGGAACAGAATATGAAATTACATATTTTAAATCAGATTAGTAAATTATAAGACTTAGTATAGTTAAAACAGATCAAATAATGTCATAATAACATCTATAGTAGTAATATGTGTTTATTCATATTAGTATTTACATTCTAAGCTACATGGCAAATGCAGACAATGAACATGTGGTTATTCTGTTCTCCAGTACATACACAAAGCCTAAAGCATAGTATATTTTCAGACTATTTTGTCCATGCTGGCAATCAAATTCAGGGCCATATACATGGTGCCATTTCAGTGACAGTGTCACAAATGAGACAGACCATGAAAGAAAATAAAAATGTAATTCTGCCTCCATAAATAATAGTAAATTAAAGGCCTGGAATACATTAGACACTTGATTTTAAAAGAACCCTAGAAAATACATACACGTGTATACTAATTGAAGATTTCAGAAGGTGGCATTAAATAGTTGAAGAAATTAATTAGAAAGAATGGAATAAAATTAATATCGGGCTGAGTGTTGGTGGCGCACGCCTTTAATCTCAGCACTCGGGAGGCAGAGGCAGGCAGAACTCTGTGAGTTCGAGGCCAGCTTGGTCTCCAGAGCAAGTGCCAGGATAAGCTCCCAAGCTGCACAGAGAAACCCTGTCTCCAAAAACAAACAAAAATAAATAAATAAATAATGTCAGTACATGGTGTTCTTGGGAGGCAGACAATGGGTACTTACTGAAGATCTTATTACAAACCTTTTCATCGTGAAATAGAGATGCCCTATTCAATTTGTTGGTTTGGACATATTTGTTTAAAAAACAGATATAACCTTTTTCCATGTTACTTTTTAATATTTACATTTTAACTGTGTATAATTGGGACTCACATTTTCTGTTGGAGTTTGGCACATCACCAATGGGGAGCTCAGCAGTCTGTGAATCTTCTGGGCCTTTCTATGTTAAATTAAAATATAATTAATGAAAAGTGAGTAACTGTCACATTAGGTTGAAACCTAAAACTAAGAGTTATATTGACATTTGAAAGACATTTTACTAAGTACATATTAGAACTGCCCACTTACATAAACAACATACAAAGTAGAACAAGGTCACCTTTCCAAAATGTCCCACCCGAGTATGGATTATAACTTCCCCTTAACTACCTAAATGGAATACCACCAAGGCTACATTTTCCGCTGCTAAATATTTCTTTTAAAAAAGTATGTGCACATAATTCTATTAGCCAACATTGTGGAAACTGACAACAATTTAATGTATTAGAAAACTTTAAAGTATCATTGTCATTATCACATAAAGGTAAAACTAAAGTTCCTGGGCCAAAGTAACAGCAGCTGTTCAAAAGATGGGCTATTTGTGGAGAAGGAGGGCTGAAAGAAGGGCTATAGGACATAGCCTATCTCTTTGCCTGAAATAAGTGAGTAAAGAAAAAAAAGCCAATATGCTAATTACACCTTATTCAGACATGTACTTATAATTACAAGCTTTATGGTTCTACTAAAACATATAAATTCAAATATTTATTTCATTTACTTTACCTGAAATCTATATATATATTTTTTCACAATAAAATGGAATTTAGAGGCAAGCCTCCAAGACCTCTTATACATGAGGAAAATATAATAAAGTTTCCTTCTTCTACCTACACGTTCCAAAATGAAGAGGAGGGGAAAAAAATCAAACCGATCAAACAATCTGATATGTTAGGGTGAGAAGTGTCCTGACATTTCAAAACTCCTTAAGTCATTTTCAGAGTCTTACTTTCATGGATGATGGAGCTCCATACCCTTTGTTTCAACCCAAATAATAGAGCCAACAGGAATAAGACTTTTCAAACTAATCCTAACCTTAGGTTATCCTTTTTCACACCACATTTTAATGTACCTGAACAATAAATATAAAGCATTAAAATCATTTCTATTTCAATAATTATTATCATCTTTATTATGCTTTCCTGAGATAGGGTCTCACTATGTAGGCTATCCAGGAAATCATTATGTAGGCCAGACTGGCCTTGAACTTAAGGAGGTTCACCTGCTCCTACCTCTCCAGTGCTGGGATTAAAGGTGTACATCACATGACAAACTTTATAACCACTTTATCATTTTTAATTAATTTATTTACTTTACATCCCCAACCAGCCTCCTGTTCCTCCTCTCCTCCAACTTCCTCCTCCCTCCTCACCTCTGACACCCCCCCAATCCATTCCATACATGCTCAGAAAGGGGCACCCCCTCCCTGGTGCATCAACAAAGCATGACCTATCAAGGACCATACACCTCCCCCTGTATTCATTCTGGTCAAGGCAATTCAGCATGAGGAATAGATTGCCAAGAGCCAGCCAATGCACCAGGGTCAGCCCCTGCTCCAGTTACTGGGAGTCCCACAAATACTCCAAGCTACACAACTGTCTCATATATGCAGAGGGAATTAAAATCATTTTTAAGGGAACTCTTTTATGTTCCCACCTCTGAGTTAACATTAGATCTCCAATCTCCTGATACATTTCTTGTGCTGTGTGTATATTATGTGTGTGTCTAGCATCTCTTCTCTTGAACTTCAATCCTCATACAAAAGTCATGCTCATAAGTTTACAGTTGTATGATGTTTCCTATTTATTCTATCCCTATATGCTTTTGTCTAAGAAGTAGAATGAGAATCTTTGAACCTGATTGGAATTTTATTTTAAAAACTAATATAGAAAATTTTGTTGTGAGAAATTAATTTGCATCAAAGTTGCTTACTATAGCACACATCACTAGACGAAACTGGTTCTGTCCTATATTTTAAAATGAACATTCTCATCCTAGCAGACTAACAAATCCCTTGCCCAGCATTTGTTTGCATTAATCAGGAAATGACTTAGGGTTATATGAAATGGAAAACCCAAAGGTCAACTGGCTTGTGAAAACAAATAACTTAAATGATGAAAATTATTGTGTCGATGTGATCCATGGGTGTCTCGAAACGCAGACAGTGGTGATTTAAATCTGTGGATCATGTGTTTTGTGCAAACAGAGGGAAGGGAAGGGAAGGGAAGGGAAGGGAAGGGAAGGGAAGGGAAGTCAGGTGCTTGGCAATGTTTTCCAAACAGTGTTTCTCATGGTCAAGAGCAGACAAGTCAGAATAGGTCCTGCTCATTTCCCCCACTGAGTCTCCTCTGTACATGGATGAGTAAAAGTAAAGCAGCTGAAACTGCAGACCACTTCAGACCTGTGACCTACCAGCTGGATGGTTGAAATAGACTTGCCTCCACCTGACTGGTCATCTAATTCAGGGTTGAGTGCAAGGTGGTGGGCATGTCCCACATGTCCATTAACCAATGGCAGACCCTGCAGGATGGGGACAGTGCAAAATCAGAGGCCAGAAGTACACATACGTAGATTTTTTCAGTTCCATGCTCTATTCCAAATTTTGCTTATCAAAGTTTTGGAGAGGATACATGAAAAAACTATCTGGAAAATCTCATTGTGATAAGTATTTATTAAAATGTCTCACCTCGGAAAAACATTGCACATACCCAGAATGTATTAACAATGTGACTTCAGAAAGTCTAGCAGTGACTGAAAGAGGTTGAAGTGGAAGTAGTTTAATATTATCATTTTATTTACTAAAAATTACAACTGTACAACATTTGATCTTTAATTTCTTCTGATATAGGTACAAAAATGATTATCAAATTGTATTTCACCATGGAAGTACTAATATAATATCTCCCCAAGTACACTATTCAATTAAACATTTGTGAACATTTGAGCATGTGTATTTCTTTTATTGTGTGCAATAACACGGACCTTAAAATTGTGTTATTATTATTACTATTATTATTATTATTATTATTATTATTATTATTATTCAATGTTTCTCTTGTGTGCATGAGTCACAGCACTTATGTGGAGGTCAGAGGGTTGCTTTGTGGACTTTAGGACCCTGAATTTTCCAAACCTGAAATCATCAACTTTTTAAACCAATCATGAAGGTAACACAGAAGGTTTCAGCAAGGATATTAACTGCCCTGTAATGGGCTTTTAAAAAACATTAGTAACTATAGTTAAGAAGAGCATAGTCTGAATGAGCTGTATATTGTCGAAATTGCCATGCCTTCCCTTACACAGATGAATTCATGAAAATGTCATTACCTTTTCCCCAGTACTGGGGATCAAACCCTGGTTCTTGAGCATGCAAGGTAAGCACTCTACCAGCAAACTGATTTCTAGCTCTTTCATTTTTTTTTTAAGATAGCCCAGGATGGCCTTGAACTCTCTAATTAGCTGAGGATGACCTTGAAGTGATTCTCCATCTCCCCACCTCTCTCCAAGTGCTGTAGCCCAGGATGGCTTTGAAATTGTGATCCTCTTGTCAGCCTCTCAAGTGCCAGGGATGAAAGGCATACACTACAGCACACTACAGCATACTGCTTACTTTTATGTTTAAATGAGTATTTCTGAAATCAAGATGAATATAATAAAACCTCAAAGCAAAGAATAAAGGAAACATATACCTTGGTATTTGGTGATACAAGAAGGATAAAACATTTTTCTATCAAGAAAAACCCATGGATGCCACCAAGCAATCCCAACAGCTTCCAAATTGGACCTTGGCTTTCATGGAAATGTCCAAGCTCCGAGGCTTCTTGCTTATGTAAACTAAGAACCTTTAAAATAAAAATGAAAGAAGATTCGAGTCAGGGAAGCAGGTAAAAGCTAACAGCAGAACTTCACCTCTTCCTCCATTCCTCCAAATCCACCTCCCCGCCCCCCCAGCCCAGTCTTATTCCCAGCTTTGTAACAGAACACTTGCTGTGGCCTCACTTCCTCCCTGTCCCGATCGCCAATGAATTACACATCTTCCTCTCCAAATTTCCCTCCCCTACTCATTACTTTACCCCAGTCCCCAACTCCAAAGGGCTGTGCCAGCCAGGGAAGCAGGTAGGTTAACTGCAGATCTTCACTCTTCCTCCTCCCCTCCAAATCCAATCTCCCTTCAGCACCCCTAGCTCTGTAACAGACCTCCTGCTGCATCCTCACCTCCTTCCTTGCCCCAATCTCCAGTAGAACACACAGATCTCCTCCAACCTTTCTTCACCCCAGTTATCACTTTATCCCAGTTCCTACTCCAGCCAGGGAAGCAGGTAACCTAACTGCAGCTTTTCACTGCTCCGTTTTCTCCTCCAAATCCAATGCCCTAGTCCCATAATTTCACCCCCATCTCTGTAGCAAACCATCTGCTGTCGCCTCACCTTTCTGTCCCCATATCAAGATGATAACTTAGATCTTCTCCTCCAACTTTCCTCCCCATTCATTCAGCTATTCCAGCCCCCATTCCGGCAGGATTTCCCTGGGAACCCACCAGGAAAACCTACCAAAGAAGTAAGCAGGCAAGCTTCAGATCTCTACATTCCCTCCTCTCCTCCATATCCAATCTCCCAGCCTCATCTTCAACTCACTAACAGACTGTTTTTAGCCTCTGCTCACTTCCTCTCTACCCCCATTGCCAGGGAACTAAGCAGATCCTAGTAGAATTCCCCACTTTTCTCTCTACTGTGGACCCTCTCCCCAGCTCTCTGTCTTAGTCCATAACCATTCCTAAGTGTTGCCTCCTAATATACATTATACCAGGATCCCAGAGTAGTCACACCTATCATATCCCAGAAGAATTTCTTACCAGGTAACACGAAGCCACCTAAGAACCAGAGAGGGCAACAGAAACCAAGGAACAAAACACCCACCCAACAAAGACAAGACCAAGTATAAGCACCTAAAATTACAATCCTCCAAACCCAGATGTCTAGATGCCAATGTAAAAACACAATAAATAACAGTTAAGATATTATGTCTCCACTAGAGTCCACTAACCCTACCACATGCGGCAGGCCCTGAAAACTGCAATATAACTAAAGCACAAGACAAAGACTTTAACACAGATTTTATGGCTATGATAGAGGTCCTTAAAGAGAAAATGTATAAATACCTTAAAGAAATCTATGAAAGCATACTGAAAGGAAATGAAAAATAAATTTCAAGACCTGAAAGTGTAAGTAGAATCAACCAAGAAAACCTAAACTGAGGAAAATCTGACAATAAAAATTTAGAAACTCAAACAGGAATGTCAGAGACAAGCATCACCAACAGAATGCAAGACATTGGAAGAAAGAATCTCAGACATTGAAGACATGATAGAAGAAATGAATGCCTTGATCAAAGAAAGAGTTAAATCTAAAATAATCCTGGCACAAAACATCCAGGAAATCTGGGACATGCTAAGAAGACCAAATTTAAGACTAAAGGAATAGAGGAAGGAGAAGCAAACCAGGCAGGCCAAAGGTCCAGAAAATTTCCCTAATCTAACCTAGGATGGCTATCAAGGAATAAGAAGCACACAAAACACCAAACAGATGGGGGCACAGGGGGAGAAAATTCCCTCAGCACAAAATAAGCAAAACACTAAACATACAGAATAAAGAAATAATGTTAAAAGCTGCAAAGGAAAAAGACAAAGTAACATATAAAGGCAGACTTATTACACTAATGCCTAACTTCTCAATGGAGAATCTAAAAGCCAGATGGGCCTAGACAGATAGATGTGCTGCAAACTCTAGGAGACCACAGATGCCAGCTCAGACTACTATACCTAGCAAAACTTTCAATCACAATAAGTGAAAAAAACACATTTCATGATAAAACCCAATTTAAGATAATTATATACATATATATATATATATATATATATATATAAAATATGTAGGATTGGGGAGCCTGGGAGCAAACTCTAATTTGCATTAAGTGGCATGCTCCTCTTATAAGCCTTCCTATGTGGCAGCAGGGGCCTATAGCAAAGCTTCTGTTACAAGTCTTAGTTACCACACATGCAGAAAGAAACTGTGCCAAGAGTCACACTGAAGATAAATCAGGCATCTAGACTTAGAGACAGATTTCAGATAAGGTCTGGTAGACAGCAGGAAGCCTTTATGGTGAGGAGGCAGTCCTCATGTTGCTGAGCTTTGGGGAAAGCTGCCAGGACATGATAGACTGCAACCTCTGACCAGTAAGGCCTTCTAACAGGTTGTTTGAGGAAACTAATAAGTTTCACAAAATCTTATTAACAAAAAGGAGGGGAGATAATATACAAAATAGCAAAATTAGAAATGGAAAGGGGGACATAACAACAGACACCAAAGAAATCCAGAGAATCACAAGGACAAACTTTAAAAACCTCTACTCCAAAGAATTGGAAAATCTAAAAGAAATTTTCTCAGTATTTGTGACTTACCAAAGTTGAATCAAGATCAGATAAGCAATTTAAACAGACCTATAACCTTCAATGATATAGAAGCAGTAATCAAAGGTCTCCTACTTATCCCTGCAAAAAGCTAAGCCCAGATGGTTTCAGTGCAGAATTATTCCAGACTTTCAAAGAGTTAATGCCAATACTCATCAAATTATTCCACAAAATAGAAACAGAAAGAACACTGCCAATATTTTGGCATAAAACCTCATTTTATGAGGACACAATTACCCTAATAATCAAAGCACTTAAAGACCTAACAGAGACAGAATTACAGACCAGTTTCCCTTCTGAACACAAATGTGAATATCCTCAATATAATACTTGCAAATTGAATCCAAGAACACATCAGAAGGATCATCCACCATAATCAAGTAAGCTTCATCCCAGAAATGAACAGATGGTTCAACATATGTAAATCAACAATGTAATCTACCATATAAACAAACTGAAAGAAAAAAAACACTTGGTAATCTCATTAGATAGAGAAAAAGCCTCTGACAAAATCCAACACCCCTTCATGATAAAAGATTAGAAATACAAGTGATATACCTGAAATTATAAAGGCAGTTTACATCAAACCCATAGCCAACTTCAAGTTAAATGGACAGAAATTCAAAACAATTCCACTAAATCTCCCTATACCTATTCAATATAGTAATTAAAGTGTTAGCTTGAACAATAAGAAAACTAAAGAAGACCAAGGGGATACAAATTGGAAATGAAGAAGTCAAAGTAACTTTATTTGCAGATGATATGGTAGTTTCTATAAGTGACCCTAAAAATTCCTCTGAAAAACTCCTGTACCTGATAAATACTTTTAGGGAAGTAGCCTGATTCAAAATTAACTCACAAAAATCAGTAGCCCTCCTAAATACAAATGACAAACAGACTGAGAAAGAATTCAGGGAAATAACACTTTCCACATAGTTTCAAATAATACAAGGTATCTTAGGGTAACTCTAATCAGGCAAATGAAAGATTTGTAAGATAAAAACTCTAAGAAATGAAAGAAAATAGGAGGAGATGGAAAGATCTCCCATTCTGATGGATCACTAGGATTAGCAAAATGGCCATCCTATCAAAAGCCATTTACAGATTCAAAGCAATCCCCATCAAAATTACACCACAATTCTTCATAGATCTTAAAAGGACAATTTTCAGTGTTATATAGAAACACACACACACACACACACACACAGAGAGAGAGAGAGAGAGAGAGAGAGACAGAGAGAGAGAGAGAGAGGGATAGCTAAAACAATCCTGAATAATATAAGAACTATGGGAGGTATCACCATCCCAGATTTCAAGTAGTACTATAATGCAATAGTAATAAAAACAGCACAATATTGGCACAAAAACAAACATGTCAACAAAATCAAACTGAAAACTCAGACATAAGTTCACATACCCATGGATGCCTGTTTCTTGGTAAAGACACAAGAAATACACAATGGAAAAAAAGACAGCATCTTCAACAGATGATACTAACCAAACTGGAAGACTCCATATAGAAGAATGCAAACAGGTCCATACTTATCACCCTGCAAAAACTCAACTCCAAACCAATCAAACCTCAACATAAAACTGTATACACTGAACCTGAAAGAAAATAAAGTGGGAGATTGCCTTGAACACATTGCACAGGAAAAGACTTTCTGAACAGAACACCATTAACACAGGCACTAAGATCAACAATTAATAAATGGAACCTCATGAAAATGAAGTTTCTGCACAGGAAAGGACAGTGTCATTTGGAAAAAGTGACAGCCTACAGAATTGAAAAATATTTTTACTAACTACACATTTGACAGAGGGTTAATATCTAAAATACATAAAGAACTCAAACACTTGATATCAAGAAAACAAATAACCCAATTTAAAAATGGGGTACAGATCTAAACAAAGAATTCTCAATAAAGGAAACTCAAATGGCCATCAGGGAAATGCAAATCAAAACTGTTTTGAGATTTCATATTGCACCTGTCAGAATGGTTAAGCTCAATAAAACCAGTGACAGCTCATGCTGGCAAAGATGTGGAGTAAAGTGAACACTCATCCATTGCTTGTGGGACTGCAAACTTGTACAGCCACTGTGGAAATCAAAGTGTTGGTAGCTCAGGAAGATAGGAATTGATCTACCTCAATCCAGCTTGAGCACAGCTCTACCCTCATCTGCAGACAGCTATTCGGCCTTTGAAAGAAAGCTCTTGACCTACTATTAGGCCTTAGTGGAAACTGAACCTTTCATAATGGACCACCAAGCAATCATGTGACCTGAGCTACCCATCATGAGTTGGGTGTTATCTACCCATCATAAACTAGGATGTTCACAGCAGCAATTTATTTTTAAATGTAAGTGGTATATAC